TATTGTAATGATGACGAAGTTTCTCGCCGATTTTATTCTTAAAATATGTTTTTTATTATACATGAAATTATAAAAATTAAAACCCAAAGAAATTATCTATAGCTTCACCAATTCGTTGGAGAAAACCTTTTGACTTGACATGTTCTCTTGCTTGTCGAGCGATTTCATCCTTTAATCTTTCTACTTCTGCTTCTGTTGCTCTTTTTTGTTCTTCCGCCGCCCTTCTTTGTTCTTCCATTTCTTTTTGAAATTTTCTATCTGCTTCGTCTAGTTGCCTTAGGATTTCTTTTTGCATTTCTTCATTTAAATTTTTCATTTTAATTTCCGCTTCTTCTCTTTGTCTTGACATTTCTTCTTCTTGTCTTTCCATTCTCTCTTGTTGTACCTTCAAATCTTCCTCCATGCTACTTACAATTTTTTCTAACATTTCTTTTTCAGTCATATAATTTCCAATCCTTTCGTTTAACTGATCTAAATTTTCTGGTCTATAAACTTCTTTACAAGTACTTAAATGTAATAAAATTCTTTTTCTTGATTCGTTCCTGGTTATTCTGTTGGTTTCTTTAGCACGACCGATCAATGGTGGATTATCTACATGAATAACCTTTCTACATGCTTTAATTACTCCTGCGAGTTTTTCATTTTCATTAATCATTAGTTCTTTATCATTTTCACACTTCTCGACATCTTCAAATTCAGGGAAAGTAGTTCGTACAATGGTAGTATACTTGACAACATCATTGTTAAAGATGATGGATCTTAATAAGTCATAAGATTCCACTTCTTCTTTGGTGAATCTTCCGCTTGTAACAAATAGTATTTGGTTTAACCCATTTTTGATGGAATGAGCGGCTTCTGCCAATTTATAAAGAACTTGTTGTGTAGTTAGTTTTGTATCGCCAAGACCGACTGTATCAATGAGTTTAAATAACACCCCATCAATTAAAACTTCCTGAATATTAGCACTTCTAGTTTGACTAATAGAACCTGCACTTTCTTTAAATATTTCACTATCGCTAATTACGTTTGCTAATGCGGATTTTCCATTTCCTGTTCTACCAATTAGCAATATCGTCCTTCTTTCGTATTTTTTTTTCCCCATTTTTATGATTTTATGATTTTATGTATAATTCAAAAAATTTCTCTTTTTATTTATATATCTCGTTATTTAATGTCGATCACTGTAGCCATTTTTATGTTAAAATGGTACTCTTAATTTATCCCCATCTGATTATTTTTAAACTGGGTCCGGCGAACGAGTTAGTTCCTGTTTTGACGCTAAGAGATTATCATGATAGCTTAATAAACTCGTTTTAACTATGAAAACAATAAAATCATTATCATCATATCTGCTAAATTCAATGGTACTATATAATTTATTGTTTCCTAAATTGGAAAAAACTAATAAGCCTTTTTATTTATTTATTATTTTTTGGTGTTACAGAAAAGATTTATGCACCCCGTAGATATTTCCATAATAATAATACAAAATTCGGAGTTTCGTATGCGTAATAGTGGCATCAAGCCTCGTGCGCCATTATTTACTATATACGCATTTGGCCAACACTGGTTACACTAATTGGAACTTTTCGATGTGACAAATATTTTTTAACATTTAACAGTATTAGGGATGTTAATCGATCCTTAACCGTCAGTCCTATACTGGGACCAGAGTCTCCCTTTCACACCCTAAATTTTCCATTAATATTCTTTAGAGAGAGGATACTTTTTTTTTTTTAAAAAAAAGAATAATCAAAATGCTAATTATTCAGTCTCAAAATAATTTTTAATGTCTGTCTGTCCAGGGTGATTTCAGACATCGTTTGTGTTGCTTCCATGTTCCACGTACACGGAGTCTTTTCAATAGAAAGAGAGGGATCCAACCTATTCTAAAAACGATTCTATATATAACCACACCCACTTTACATGATAAAACTTTGATTTTGCAGATCTTTTTCGATTTTCTCAATGTTGGATCTCTCTTTCTATCGGAAGGACTCCACATTTGTCCTGTTTTAAAAAAATGGAAGATACTCTGTAGAGCAAAAGGTCAAAAGGTAAATAGTCTATGAAATTTATAAAAGTGTGGACAATGGAATGAATAAATCGAAGCCTAGTAGTATTGGTAGAACTGTTGAGGATATTTTATACGAATTTGCAGATATGAAGCATAAGTTATACTTGCATGTTGTTAGTTTTCGCAGTCTTCGGTATAGCATAGGGTTTCTATTCGTAATACACTCAATCTTTAATTCCAATTAAAAAATCTATTCGAATTATTCGTTTTATTTAAATTACTAGTTTATTCATTTTATAAAATATAGGTCTTATTTCTTTAACAAGATAATATAAACAATAATTACATTTATAATCTATAATACTACTATAATTGCTAGTACTATGACTTAAGGAAAATGTCGACTACTACTATTTATTATTATCACCACATTCAAGGACTAAGGAAAAATAGATTGATAAAGAAAATTTTTTTAACTGGATTGGATTATTCGAATTATTATTATTAATTTTATTATTATCGTCCATTTTATTCTAATTGCTAGTTTTATTCGAATAGAAGCACTAGTGTAGCACCATCAGTAAATGCATTGTAAATAGCTTGGCACATTCTTTTACTGTTGATTTAAAGGATAGTCAAGCCAAACCCATGAACTTTTTTATCATGATGAAATAGACTAATTGAAATCCATCAACATCAGGAATGAACTAGTATTAATTCATATGCAACAGTACACTCTGTTATACGCAAATGGTTAATTTTCGGTCACCTTAACAGTACAAACAGTACACATGGAATCCGAGAAAATTTAGAAGTTGATTGGGAGTTGATTATGACATTAAAGAAGATTTTACTGTTGGTATTATTAGTGCAATTACTCTACTATGATTTTTATCAATCATACTAACTTTTGTTCATTCATTTATACGAATTGGAATTATCAAGAAACAAAGCATGTGATTTGATGATTTTATTATTTCCCCAATTCAATAATTATCATCAACAATAATTTTGGTAATATACATGTACTATAGATAGTATAGCAATTTAATGAAAATGAGATCAAATTTATAACGTATAAAAAACCCCAGCAAAGGTAAAGGTCCAAGGTTTTCAAATGAACCATAAATCATAATTCAAACTATACCTCTTTTCCTAACCTCCATTTAAAGTTCCTTCTAATGGTTCGGTTTTCAGTTCAGTTCAGTTTGGTTAGCAACCAATTAAATTTCATGTTTTCATTGTTCCAAATGGAATTTCGATAGTTGTTCAGCACACTACTTGACAACAAAGAAAATAGAAATTAACGATTACATTATATTGTATTTTGAGTCATCTATAAGGCATGAAGCTTGAAATTCTGTATACTAGTACAAATAATTCAATAATATTAATTATATAGTCAATAGTAAAACCCCTCGGACTCTATCACGTCTTTTTTTAGTAATTTGTAACTTTAGTCATCTGACTTTATTTGCCCAATCATAATATAAGGATTTCTATGTAGGTGTTGTTTGTGTTTAAAATTTATACTTATTAGATTATCATCGTTAACCAATTCTGAGAATTCTGCTGCTGCTATTGCGCGTGCTTTATTACTACCACACTGGGATTATTCAGAGACAGTTGGATGTTGAAGAATATGTACCAGATGATGATGTTATTTCTCAACAAAAAAACCTTGATAAAACAAATCCTTTCATGGATATGAAAAACACAATTTCGAAACTGGAATGTATTATACAATCTCAAATAATTGATGAAGCAGAAAAGACGCATATATAGACAAGAATTGTGTTCAAATATTTGCAACAAAAATGGCTCAATAAACAAATTGCCAAAACTCGAGTTGATCTTGACACCATTCCACAACATTGCCACAGCTACAAAGACCCAGGGTCGGCAAGTTGATTAGTCCATTGCCAAAACTCGGGTTGATCTTGACACCACTCTACAACACTGTCGCAGCTACAAAGACCCAGGGTCGGCAAGTTGACTAGTCCATTGCCAAAACTCGGGTTGATCTTGACACCATTCTACAACACTGTCTCAGCTACAAAGACCCAGGGTCGGCAAGTTGACTAGTTCATTGCCATTTAAAAAATACTAAATATGGTTAAAGTGTTGCGCGTGGACCAATGGATCACCAATGGACCACACATTTGCCAACCCTGTATCAAGATGACCCCTACACCACTTACTCCAACAAATTTATTGGATTGCACATAGTAAAAGTAGATCTCATTTTTAGATGCAAGCGTGAAGCTTCAGGAAAAGAAAAGAAATCTGATTCAGTAGATCTAAAATTTGAAGCTTTAGAATCAGATTCAGATCCATGTTCATATGAAACACCAATATTTGAATTTGAATTTTATATTGTACTTTATCTTATTCACTATTAATATTATTGGTATTCGTGTTGTAATCTTGACTAATTACAAAATATAACAATAAATGAATAATTAATTCTAGCAAAGAAAAGCACCTTTATTTTTTTATTTGATTTAATGAATAATTGGGCAAGTAGAGAATTCCCAAAATCCAAGAATTTATTATTTGCCCTCATATCTTAAATCAGAACTTTTAATAATGATTCGTTAAATCGAGGTCTGCTAAACTGAGATTCATCATAATATAATATCAAACATATTAATATGTCGCGATAATAATGATTACATTATAGTTTGGTAATTCCAAATCAGTATTTTAATTTAGCAATTAATTTAATCAAAATTAATTTAATCTTCATATTTATTGAACATGACACCACAAGGTCACTACTGATATAATGTGATCATAGACATCCATTAAACTATTTGATGATACTCTTTTTGTGCTTATTTTTATCTAGACACCAATAAAATTTCAATGCAGATCATAAAAAAATACACCTCCAATCATTCTGCGTGACAAATCTTTCGACCATTGACAATTAATTTTTTATAAATCGATCAATTGGTCATGCGTGCGTGCGCATATGTATTTATTTATAATAATTAGGAGTGATAAATGGCATTTTTACAATTCGAGCCTTTTGTAATTGATTACGAACTTTGACTTGAAGTTCGGTATTGGATTTGTGAAACCCTGATTTTACATATCCCATTGCAATATTCTTCTTGAGGGATGGTGATGGTCCACCACTTGTAACTTTACCTAGAGATAGAGAATTTTTTCATAAATGAATAAACTAATAAATTAAATAAATAATTATAATAAATGTGGATATTTTTTTGATTATACCAATTTTTACTTCTTCCATATTAAAAATCTCAGCGTTTTCTATATATGTATATATAAGTATAATTAATTCATGTAAATTGTTGTTTTTACTTAATAATTTAAATTTTACCTCTTGCTGGTGCACCTTCAACTATGAGGCCAACCCGACGACGAGTTACTCCATTTTTAATGTGATTAAGGATATGATTTGCACCCAAGAATCCGCCTTCTTGTCTTCTGCGTTTTCCTAATATAAGTTAAAAATAATTAATTCGACAATAATTTTACTCTCAAATAACAATAATAATAATAGTACCAATTGTCCATGTTAAACCAGCTTCAACAGGTGATGTTGTATCATCAAGATCATGACCATATAAACAAAGTCCTGCTTCTAAACGTAAACTGTCACGAGAACCTAATCCAGCCAATTGTACAAAAGAATTCTCCAATAATGTATTTGCTAATTTAACTGCTTCAGTTGAAGGGACAGCGATCTTCAAAATAATTTTTTAATATTATTAATATTTGTGTATATATGGATATAACACTATGGATAACTGTTATTATATATGTGTGTGTGTGTGTGTGTGTGTGTACCTCAAACCCATCTTCTCCTGTATATCCAGAGCGGGTCACGTGACAATCCGCTCCATTTATTTTTAAAGTACGCGCCGTCATAAATTTAAAATCATTTAAATTTGCTTCAGTCAAATTCTGAAGAACATTTGATGATTTGGGACCTTTTTTTAAGTAAAAAAAAACTCTCAAGACTTTAGAAAATATTCATATCCAATTAATTAAAGAGCAAACATTCATAATGATACCTTGTAAAGCCAATAACGCATGATCATTAATAACCTCTAATGATACATCTCCACCTTGATTTTGAAATTTCCCCAATTCATTTCTGATATGTGCTAAATCTTTTTGTGCACAACCAGCATTTGATACAATGTAGATGTGATCATGCTTCTTACAAATCACTGTATCGTCAATGATACCACCTTGTTCATTGGTAAAAACTGATAATGTTGAAGTGTCGAGTGGCAATTCTTTGAGATCTGCCACAACTAATTTTTCAATAAATGTTACAGAATCTTTACCTAAGATTCTGTCAAATAAATAAATGTTTCCTTTTCGATTTAGATTCGAGTATATATGTGTATGCGTTCTTTGGAGGTGAAAATGTAAATTGATTACCTCATTTGAAGCATGTGAGATACATCAAATAATGAAGCGTCTGCGCGCGTGTGCAGATGTGAAGCTAATATACCCATATTTGAGTATAAAACTGGCATTGACCAACCAGCAAAAGGAACCTTTTTGATCAAAAAATTAAAGATATTATTTTATTTGTGAGAGTGAAAAATAAAAACTACACAGTTTTTTACTTGCCATTTTTCCGCCTTTTTCGACATGGAAATCATATAACGGAGTTTTTTTCAATTCCTAATATTATATATATATATATATATATATATATACGTATGTATTAATAACGCTAATAATGAAGATTTAATAAATTTAACAAAGAGAAATGTCATGTTAAATACCACTTTTTCATTTTTAAAACTAACAGTTCTTTTACCTCTTCATTTGTAGACGAAGTGAAACTTTGTTTTTTAATCAATGATTGTAATGAAAAAACTCCTCGATTTTTGTCGAATTTGGGAATCAAATTTCTACTATTACGAGTGCAGAAGAGATAATGACAATTATTAGTTAAAGATGAAGAAATGGTTTTCATTTTTTTAAAAAATTTTTGAAATCTAAATTTTTTGTGCAGTGTGGCACAATAGGTGTTCATGGTATGATGTTAACCAAATATGGGATCTATTGCTGATATTTTCCATATATGGTTAACATATTCCGACCTGTTTTATAAATAAAATAAAGCTATTTTTAAACATTACTTCATCAGATATGATTTTAGTTGAAATTTTTCTAATCCCACTATATGTGGCTGCACACTGAATTTCATAAAATGTTCATCTAATTTTAATGATTTGCGAATTATTGTTAGGAATTTGAACGATTGATGATTATGATTATGAATGTAAGGAAGGTATAGGTATAATGTCATTTATTTCGAATTGAATTATTGATGAAATATTATTATCAAAAATTTGAACAATTGAAATTGAAGTGATGGGGGTAAAAGTGCAACATTATCAATTCTTTCATCACTTGAACTTGACATTCTCGCGAAAATTTTTTTTAAGGAACGTGAAAATTTTTTGTTGAAAGCTCGCACTTTTGAATTGGGCAATTGGCAGACAGTGTATACCCGCAATGCACGGACCAGAAAGTCCTGAAAAAGTCTTAAGCTTTTTTTAAACGTGAAATGTTTGGAATATTTCGAGGTAGCTTTTTGGTCAACTTCAATTATTTTACGTTGTATGGCAGAATTTGAGTTAACTTTTTAGCTACACTCGTCGATTAATTGGAAGCTTTTATACTAATATACAATGCACTTCAATTAATTTATTTATCCTGCTTACTTGTACCTAGAAGACTTTGGTGAATCTGCGAGCATACAATTTATGGTTTATGGTACAAATAACAACGAATTATATATAATAAAAGCAACAAAGGCTCCCGCAGAATTTTTATTTCATTTTTGCTTTTCTTTGGTCGATTAAAGTCGGACGTATGTTTACAACAATTACTTTAACACAATACAATATGTAATAACGATAATATTTAGCTCTTTGTATAGATTGTTCATCAGTAATAATTGTTAGCGATACTTTTGCCAATTGGTATTATTAACACCTCACATTTACACTTAAACAATTAAACCCATTTATAAAAATTTAAACAAAAATGTTTATGCGTAACAAAACCAAAAATCAAACCTTTGCTTTATACCAAAGAAAATAACTCAAAACCACATCATTCTGATAACTATTAAGCCCTACTATTTAATTTCCGACCACAAAAATGTTTTATTAAACAAAAAAAAAAGAATTAATTGTATGTTATGTATAAATATATATTTTCTATGTTTATTTATGTATATTTGTTATTATAAATAAATTGGTAAATGGATGGATGGGTGGATGAATGAAGAATTCAATAAAAGTTTAGTTGTAGTTGATAAATTTTGACAATTTTTAAATCATCCGTTATACACGGACTTTTTAGTACTCCAGTTCCATGCTTGCACCATACTGATTAATTAGTATATAATGGTCTCATCATCACATTAATTTTTAAAAAGTCATTTTAAATAAATATCAGAGATATTAGAAGATGCTTGTTCATTTAAATGTTTTTCAAGCCTGACTGCTTTAATTTTTCCATTTCCTTTTTTTTTTAGAGAAATATTAAATATTAAATATAATACATAATGTGTAAATATATTATTTATTTTATGATTTAATAAATTTGTTTTACGTTTTAATTTAAACAGGACCGTCGATAATCCGCCTTCTAGTTCTTCGTCCACACTTTCAAATTCTTCATCCCTCCACCTTCTAGTCCTTCGTTTACAATTTCATAATCATCTTTTCAAGAATTATTGTTAGTCAATTTACAGGAAGGGCAAAGGTTACAAATGTGAGGAGAAATAAAAAGTTCGTCATTGTGATCGGGGATAATTCCATTAACACTTGAATCGTTTTGAGAATATTGACAATGTTGAGATAGATTATAATCTCTGAGGTCAACACGCGAAATTGGAGACGCTTGATATTAAAATTTTTGAAAATTTACTATATAAAAACACCTACTGCGCGATTCATTTTTTAACTGTAACTTTAATAGTAATTTAACCATTAAATGCATACGGAAATTCGTGTGTCCTCTCGTATGTACTATCTGCCAAAATTTGCTTTAATATAGTAAAAACCTGTTCACAAAGATCAATAGAACTCAATAAGTAATTAATATTTTGCAAATCTCACAGTCATGACAAAGTTCGAGTCATCATCTATTCAATTAGAGAGTTATTGTTTAAAAATGATCAATAGGAGTGGATTTCTATTCTTTCAAAAATCACATGTGGAATTGGAGGCTATAGACGTTGAGCACCATAGAATAGTTGCTGTTGGGTTAATATAAACACACGTCAATCTCATGAATATCGGCTACAATGAAGGAGCTGATTACGAGCGGAAGAAAAAGTTAAACTAGGAGAGGTGCTTTTGAGAAGTATCTGTTTTTTTTTATAATGATATTTTGTTAATTGTTATTTTTTAATAGACTAATTAATTCTTTGATATCTTCAATATCACAATTATTTGAAATAGCTCTCTTTAGGTCTTGGGTTGGAAGGCGGAAAAACTTGGGCAAAGAAGAATAATTTTTATTTATTTACATTTGTGACAAAATTAGATTCGATTTTTAATTGGATCATGTAGTATATATAATAATAATAACATTACTATTACAATAATCTATATTTTATTTTATTTGGGTTTATATTATATATATATATATATTTAATAATAAAAAGAACTCTTATTTTATTTGTTTCATTTTTGATTTTTTAAATTTTTTTATTGAATTTATTGAATCAAACAAATCCATTGTTGATTCAACCAAGAAAAAAAAAAAATTACATTTAACCATTATAATTTATCATATTTTCATTATAAAAAAAAAAAAAAAATGAATGATTTACAAATCGGAACAAGCAGAACCAGTAATGGAATTATTGGTTTACCTTCTTCAACTGGAATGGAAGGTTTTTAATCGTACAAATTATTTATATTTATATTCATATAGTGCATAAATATATATTTATATATCAATCATCAATCTATTATTTTGCAAGTAGGAGGTTTATCACCTACAATGATTTCAGCTATCAATAATTTATCGATTGATGAAAATTCAAGTAGTGAAGAAGAAGAAGAAGAAGAAGAAGTTATAGAAGAATCAGTTGATGATGATGATGTGATGATGGATGATGGGTCACAAATGTATAGGAGGAATTCTGTAAGTAATTAATTATCAATTACTAAATTACCACACACCGCCATCACCACACCACCACCATTACTTTAACTATTAGTCAATTTTAATGCCACACCACTAATAAATAATGAATAACAAATAAAAAATGTAATCCTTTTTAAAAAGAGGAATTATAATCGATATTCTAGAACATCAACATTTAACAATGACAATTACGATGAATCAAATATAAATTTATCACAACCAGTTGCACCAGAGGAACCTTTAAGAGCGATAGTGATTAATAGACCTACTGCTCAAATGATTGAAACATATAGATTACCAAAACCAAAAGATCAAATGTCAGAACAAGAAATAAATAATTTAATTATGAGGTATGAAAGAAGGGAAAAAGTAAAGTTTATATTTGTTCATTAGTTGATAGATTGATTGATTGATTTAGAGATTATATTAATTGACGTTATTATTATTAACTAACAACATTATTATTTGTTAAAGTCCTGTTCCACAAGGTCAAAAGGTTTTATGTAAAATAACTCGTAAAAGAGATAAATTTGGTAAATTTTATCCATTATATGAACTGTTTATTGAAGAACGAGACAACAATGGCGAACAGATAAGAACATTTCTTATGTCAGCTAGAAAGAAAAAGAAAAGTAAAAGCTCACATTATATCATTACCACTGAAAAATTAACAAGCTCTAGCACACCTAAAACCATTGTGGGAAGAGTTAGGTGAGAAGTGGTTATTTAATTATTATTATGGTATTCTGATGAAATTTAATTATTTGCTATTAATGCAATATCATTTTTTTTTTTCATTTTGTTTTGATAGATCTAATTTTTTAGGAACAGCTTTTGTTATATATTCACATGGTAAAAATCCATTTAAGCATGAACCAGATTCGACGGACTTACCACTTAGAGAAGAATTAGGATCTGTAGTTTATGTATGTATATATATCTATATTTATATTATATATTATCATCACTGTTAAAATAAAATCTTTATTAATTTTGGTGGATTAGGATCCTAATATACTTGGATTTAAAGGTCCACGTAAAATGACAATTTTATTAATAGGAATGATGATAAGTGGTGAAAGACCTGAATTTCGTCCCAAAGAAGTATTTTATATATTCACATTTACATTCATTGCCATCAATTAATCAATCAATTAGTGATTAATGGTGTTGTATTGTTTTAGGAATCAGAAACATTAATCGGTAAATTTCGTAATGGTGATAAACGAGATATATTAGTTTTACATAATAAATCACCACAATGGAATGAAGGTATGATATCTTATTGGGGAATGGGAAAGATAATTCTTTTTTTAAAAGGATAAAAATTATTGTTTTAATTTAGAAGTAATGAATGTTATATTAATATCAATTTATTATTTAAATATTTTCACGTGATAGATACAAGATCATATGTGCTAAATTTTAGTGGTAGAGTAACTCTGGCATCTGTAAAGAATTTTCAAATTGTACATGATAACGATTGTAAGTAGTATTTATTATATACAAACCAATTCAATATATCAATCAATAATAATAATAACCTTTTTTTTTTTTTTACAAGTGGATTATATTATAATGCAATTTGGTCGTGTATCAGAGGACTCATTTACAATGGATTTTATGTACCCAATGTGTCCCATTCAAGCTTTCGCAATTGCTTTAACAAGTTTCGATGCTAAACTTGCATGTGAATAAATAATATAATGTATCAATAATTTTTTTTTTTTTTAGAAAATTAAAGACTTATTATTTATTCATAAACAAATATTTGAAGTGGTAATCGTGTTAATAAAATTCCCAAAAATTTTCTTTACCAAAACCATAAAAAAGCAAAGCAAGCAAAAAAAAAAATACCAAGATTATTTTACTTATTTACTTTATTTATTTATTAAATTTGATCCTAATGAAATAATTACATTACATTATACATTATATAAAAACTATATAAAATATATAAAAATTATAAATTCCCTGTGAACTATTGCTTGAATTGTGTTACAGTACAAAAAAATAATCATTGACCACCACGAAGACGGAGAACAAGGTGAAGAGTTGACTCCTTTTGGATGTTATAGTCTGATAAGGTTCTACCATCTTCCAATTGTTTACCGGCGAAAATCAAACGTTGCTGGTCTGGTGGGATACCTTCTTTATCTTGAATTTTTTGTTTCACATTATCGATGGTATCAGTTGACTCGACTTCTAAAGTGATTGTTTTACCGGTCAAGGTTTTGACAAAAATTTGCATACCACCACGAAGACGAAGTACAAGATGGAGAGTTGATTCCTTTTGAATGTTATAGTCAGACAAAGTTCTGCCATCTTCCAATTGTTTACCGGCGAAGATGAGACGTTGCTGATCTGGTGGGATACCCTCTTTATCTTGAATTTTTTGTTTAACATTGTCAATGGTATCGGTTGATTCGACTTCCAAAGTGATAGTTTTACCGGTCAAGGTTTTGACGAAGATTTGCATACCACCACGAAGACGAAGGACAAGATGAAGTGTTGATTCTTTTTGGATGTTGTAGTCGGACAAAGTTCTACCGTCTTCCAATTGTTTACCAGCGAAAATCAAACGTTGCTGGTCTGGTGGGATACCTTCTTTATCTTGGATTTTTTGTTTTACATTGTCGATGGTGTCGGTTGATTCTACTTCCAAGGTGATGGTTTTACCGGTAAGGGTTTTGACGAAGATTTGCATACCACCACGAAGACGAAGGACAAGATGAAGTGTTGATTCTTTTTGGATATTGTAGTCGGACAAGGTTCTACCATCTTCTAATTGTTTACCAGCGAAAATAAGACGTTGCTGGTCTGGTGGGATACCTTCTTTATCTTGGATTTTTTGTTTTACATTATCAATAGTGTCAGATGACTCGACATCTAAAGTGATGGTTTTTCCGGTAAGTGTTTTAACAAAGATTTGCATGTTTATTAAATTTTTTAATGGTGGTTTGAATTATTTTTCTGTAACCTTGACGCTTATTAATAATACTAAGAAAATAAAGTTTTGACTTATTAATATTTATTAATAATATACAAGGATATTATTATATGTATTATTTGAAGAATAAAAATAAAATTATTTACTTTGAAAAATTTAAATTTTAATATATAAAATTTAATGAATATAATTTGTATGTAATTTTTTTTTTTAAGAGGAAAAAAAAAGATTTGAAGAGAAAGGGAGAGAAAAGAATTTCAGGAGCCTATTTATACTAATCACCAAGGAATTCCAAGAAAAAATGTTGTGTAAGCAAGTATGACTAATATGACTAATTTAACTATTTTATTTATTTATTATATAGTAATATAATAAAAAAACTACGTATTATAACAAGCATATTCTAGATTGTACATGAGTTTTCTTTTTTAATATATAACAAATAAGTTAGTATAAAAATAATTTGAATGTAAACAATAATACTTTTTTCTCCTTTTTAGGAAATACCAATTAAATACGGGGCATCACCAGACCGCCACACATGATAATAATAATAAGGACGAAAACCGAAAACCCATTTAAAAATTCGTTATTATTATAACAAAAAACTACTATGGTATTTTGTGAATTTTGTGAAGCAAAATTATATTAATTCGTTGAGGTTTGATTATACATGACCGATAATAATCATGCATCTCGCTCGATTTAGCAGATTTTGGGTTTAACGAATAAAAAATTTCTGTCTATAATAATAATAATAATTATTATTATCATTATTTAAAAATATATAAGAGAGAGGGATTATGGCACCTCGAACCAAACAAAAATGAGTCAACACCACTATCATATGGAATCCTTTTTTTGATTGATAAATTTTGAGATCTTTAAATTACAACCGATGCAGATCCTTTTAAAGTTACACAAAAACGCAATAAGCTCTTTTTCTGTTGCAATTACAATTACAATCGTACGATTAACAATAAAAAAAAAACGAAACGAACTATTTATCACGCGATCAAATTTTTATCAGCCACAAACTTTAATTCTATTTACCCCTTTTTGTTCACCAAATTTGACACAATTCTAGAAAATCAGGATGCTATTATTTCTTTTTTGGTCATTACGCCTGGTGATCTCCTGCCCACATTTTTTGTATTGATAAAAAAGTTGTATGAAAGCTTCCATATAAAGGCAATAATTGAAATAAAAAAGTAATGATGTTTTTGAATAACTATAATTTCGTATATAGAGCCTCTATCAATATGAAAGAAGATTCATTAGAAAGCTACAATAGCACAGTTTGTTTCGGAATTTCTATTTTACATATTAATGATCAACTGATGTATGATTAAAATTTGAATTGATTTATTAAAACGAAGTATTGTAAAAAGACAATCAGAAAATGAATTTGAAGATGATAATGATCAAACAAACCAATGCCCACTAGTATAGAAGCTACAAAAATGCGCTCGAATATTAATACATACAACAAAAAAAATTTAGAAATTTTCAAGTAGAAAAGGTAACTATAGATTAAAGGGTGAAATTTCTTGTAAAAATTTCAAGAGTATAAACGAAAATTGAAAGATTATTACATTAATATTAATATTAATATATAAAATGAATTTTATTTTTAGATATTAATATGGTTCAAGATTTTAGGGGGTTGACTCTATAAAAGATACAAAGTTGACTTCTCAATGTGAAAATGCCATTAATTCATTTTATTGTATGCAACATTCCATTTCATACTATTTCCAAAGCCTTATTTACGATTGAATATATGGATGGACAGATTATTCTAGCAAATCATTATGGAAACTTTGACATTGATATAATTAAAGCATTGACTAAAGGTAGTTGTTCACCAGAGCCATTGGACGATTTGACTAAAGTAAAAGCTCTTGATGTAAGTAAAACCACTTGACGTAATTAAACCATTTGACGTAAGTAAAAATGCTTAAACACTTGATACAAGCGGCAATAATGATAATGATATTATGTAAAAATGTGTGTTCTGGGAATGAATAAAGAATTATCATATCATTGTCTGTATATTGCAATGATGCAAGAAGAATAATTATCATGGAAATTTACAAATGTTATAATTTGAATTAGAAATTTTTACTTTATTTTTTTTCGTGTATTTTCTTTCAAAATAAAAATGCCTCTTCCCTTTTACAAATTAAAGCCATTCTTTTTATTACCACATTTCATAAATCAAATTGTCTTTACATACAGTACATATGAGCTGTATTAAATTGATGTTTTTTCGAATTTTTGACTTTGAAGTTAAATACACGTAATAGTAATACGCAATAATATTAATAATGTTTTGAGCTGTCTGAATTTGAAGCAACATAAGTTGATCAATATTGGTGCTTTACATAGCACATAAGACAGGTTTTAGTACATATTTTTGTAAGTTTTAATTTCGTTTTCTATTTTTATCACTTTTAAATCTTCAAAGAATGCCAAAATGCTTTTATTGTTGAATCACGATAAATCAATCACTAGGGGTTTGGTGACGAAGGAAGTTGTTCTTTAATTTATACGAAAAAATTGTTTGTTACACGTCACTCTCCGCAAAGAAAAAGGAAATAATGTAACCGTTACTCTCAAAAAGATCTCCAACAATTAACATTCATTAAAACACCAAGTCGAATTTTATATTTTATACTTTTACACAATGTCACATAATAAATTATTATCATCATTATCACAAGAAAGAAAAGGATTTGTATATAAAATTGATAATGAAATGTATAATAACACAATGGTTAATTCTGATGAAGGAAGTATAAAAGATTATTTTTTTTCATTAGTCAAGAAAAACAAAGAGCTTTCTGAAAATGAAAAAGAATTTTGTAAGGAAAATTTTATTTATTGGTTTGAATTAGGAAATGCAAGAGATAAATCAGGCAAACCTAAAGAATGTAACAAGTGTAAATTGACAAGATACTCTGATAGGTTCTGTGAAGGTTGTATTAATTTACAATTACAGAGTCTTTTCACCACTTGGACATCTGGGAATAACATAGTTGACAACTTTATTCAACAATGTCAAATGAAATCTTCTCTGCCACAATATATTTTAGAATGGATACCTTTTGAGCAATTCATAAAAGTAACAAAGTTGACAGAAAGTGGATTTAGTTCAATTTTTACTGCTACATGGACAAGAGGAATTATTGTTGATTATGACGAAAATAAAAAGGAATTTAGTTATTTAGGAGGGCAACTAGTAGTATTAAAAAGTTTAAATGATTCAAGTAATCCAGGAAAAGGCTTTTTTAATGAGGTTGGTAATTGTCATTTAAAACAAAATAAACAATACTGTATTATTTAATACTAATTGATTTTATTTATTTTCAGGCAATGAATTATTGCAAAATTAAAGCACCACTGATTGTTAATTGCTATGGTATAACTAGATTCCCAGATAATGGAAATTACGCAATAGTTTTAGGCTATGTTTCAGAGGGAAATTTAAGGGATTATTTACAAAAAATCATTTAAATTTAGCATTAAAAGACAGAATTACAATGCTTAGATATTTATGTAATGCATTAGATTATATACATCGGAGAGATTTAATCCATTGTGATTTACATAGTGGTAATGTACTTGTGCAAGGAGGTCATTGTTTTATTACAGATTTGGGATTATGCGGACCAGTTGATGAAAAGTCATCAGATAAAGTCTATGGGATTGTATCATATGTTGCGCCTGAAGTACTTAGAGGCAAAAAGAACACCAAGGAATCTGATATCTATAGTATTGGGATGTTAATGTGGGAAATATTTGCAGACCACCCACCATTTGACAATAGAGCTCACAATCATTGTTTGATTTTTGATATATGTGAAGGTTTACGACCACCAATATTACCTGGAATGCCTGATGATTGTGTGCAAATGATGCAGAGGTGTTGGGATGTGGATCCATCAAAAAGACCAACTAGTAGAGAACTTTTCAAATTTGCTTATGATAAACATAAGAAAATTCGTGAAAATAAAATTTTGAAAAATAATAGTAAGAATAATAGTTTAATAAATAGATTATTCAAATTTTTTAATAATGATGGTAGCAACAGCAGTGGTGGTGGTAGTGATTCGCAACAAGTACACGAATCACATCCAGGTGCATATCATAAAAGTAGAATATTAGATGAGGAGATTGCTAAATCAAAAAGCTTAAAAAGTTATACAAGTAATGATAGTTCATTAAATAGACTTGATTTTAACTCTCTTCTCTAGAATGTTGAAGGTAAATAAAAATTTCACTTTTAATTAATTAATTGAACTTACTATCCATTAATTATTATTAACAATATATTTTTTATTTCTAATAATTAAAGAAAGAATTGATGAATGAGCAATTTAATCTCCTAAATTATTTGTTATAATTATTTGTCTTTTTAATTTATTTTATTTCTTAAAGCTAAATAATAATTTTTTGATTTTTGTTAAATAGTGATATTGCAAAGTATCATTTCAGTTGATACTGATTATTTAACAAGTATGGCTGATTATCAGGAACTCGCAATAATTTGGTGCTCGTCAATTAATTAGTTTACGAATTTACTTTGGTTCCCTCTTTCTTCCACCTAGACGAATCTGTGAGCACACTTAATGGTACTAGATAACTGCAAATAAATAAAGATGGCCTTTTACAAAGCTTAAGGACTTCGATTTATTTCAGTCGTTCGCATTTATTGATCGATTGCAAATTTGCTTTGGTTTACTTGTAAAACAACTCAAGTAGCTTGTTTAACAGCCTTATGTTTTACGATTATATAACGCTACCAGTATTGATTAACCTTTGGACAATACTTCATTAAAACCAACTGTTATCCTAATCTTTGCTTACTCACTAAAGCAAATCACGTTACTAATCACTGTTAACACCCACTAGTTAACCAACGTTAAGCATAACCTTGTTTACTCACGAAAGCAAATAACTCCATAATTGTTACCTTTTGC